TGCATCCAAACCAACTAAGAGGAGGCGTACGAACTACACGCGAACCTTCCCGTTTATGGCAGTGATCACCGGCTCGATTGGGTATCGAGGTGTATTGGGCACCTTGGACATTTGACCCCAACTAAAGGGCGTATTCTCTGATGAACTGAACAGTGGCTCCTAAGGGATTGCGGTTTTCACACCGCCCTGCTGCCTTGCGAGTCAGGCTTTGGCTAGTCAAAGGCTTCGGTTGTGGATTCCTCAAGAAAATTCCCCTGTCTTGACATGAGAAACCTGGCAGTATTCCGCCTACAACTAAATCATGGAACGTTTCCTTCGCTTTTATGAAGATTATTGTACCATGATTTGTTTGGCACACAGTCTGGCGTCAGACTCGTGTGAATATATATATATATATNATTGTAGCACCCCAATGGGTGCCGAAAGTTGATCATGACGGAGCAGGAGGTATACGTCACTGTGGGGTTCGCTCCGTCTGCCGTTCACCACACAAATGTGTTTAATAAAAAAATATGCCCTAATCCAAATTTAAGGAATGAAGATACGGTCCTTAGACAGTCAACATTTCAGATTCTTCATTTCGGTCGAATCGCAGGCCACACGATGTCCAAGAGATTATCGGTCGTTGGTTTCGGGAAAGTACGATTACACTCTAGGTGTCAGGAAACGATTAAGTGGATGCATCCATTACCGCCACGGAACGCAGTTAACTCCTCGCTGGTCGACTCTTTACACTAACAGATTCCACGCTATCTGGACTAGGCTCATATCGGTGATAGATACAGCAGCTGCGCAGGAACTTCTGAAGGAAGAAGACAACTTATTTTCCTCCACAGGGGAACCTGCTCAGCATGCTAAACCTCGAAGAAGAGAACTTGCAATCCTCTAGCACGCTGTTTGAACATTTATAAATAGAGCTAAGGAGATGGTGCCGTGACTCCCCACAATCTGGAGTTCCTTGTGGATCTCCACCTCAGATGGTGGATCTGTCGAGACTGGCGACTGGATGGGTTTATGAATGACTGTAGAAGCTTACGATGTGAGTCAGTGAAAATGTGTCTTGAAGTGTTCTGCCAAGCGCACAAAGTGGCGTTTCTTAGTGTGAATAGGCGAATCGTCAGATGCAGACACTGTGGTGCAAACCTGATGCTTTTCTACTGGTCACCAGTTGAGATGAAACAGCATTCGGGGAATTTCCCATGGCAATGGCAGATACCTACTCGATAGGTGTTAAAACCAACAGATTTGGCGATCTTTGTGCAGGCACCAGTTGACTTCATGTCTCATTACGAGTTGGTTCGTTTAGCTCGATTCCGGTAAGAATTGACCGGAACGCGGTCAATCACTAAATCAACAGAATGCAGCGAATTCTTCACAAGAAACTAATGCCGATCGATATTATCAGAAGTGTTTGTATCTAGCTTATCACAAAATGGTTGCGACAAAATGAAGCAATCAATCCTATGTGTACGAAAATATACACAATTTCAAGGTGTTAAGCATAACACTCTGGCATCAGAGATGCAGGAAGTTCATTGACTAAACCTTATCATAATAAATTTATACTTGCCGGGCAGATCCGAACAAATCGGTCCGTGAGGATGTTGGGTGTAACCGGTGAGGCTGCAAAGCAAGAGGCAGAGATTCCGATAAAGCAGTTTCGACCAAATCCAATCCTAGTCCAGACAAGGATAAAACACTCTCCGAGCGTCGGAAGAAAGCATCCTCCCGTTGAGCCATGCGTCCACAAAGCACATACGGTGCGCCATCATGACAGGCAGCTGACAATGTACGATAAAGACGTAAAGGTGTGCAATGTTTGCATTAGACCGCATATCAAGGCTAACTGCCGTACGTACTTTCATAACAAACATACGGAAGCAGAGGATTAAGTCATCATCATCATAGTACAACGAAACATGGTGAAGCGGACTTCGCTGCCAAACCCGCAATGCACACAACGTTATTGGTAATACGTAAGACGGACACGGATTGGACTTATTTTGAGGGATGGGAAGAGCTTGAACCTCTATGGTCCGTACACAGAATACACAATCTAACTGTACATACATACCGTTTCAAGCATTCTGGCCGGACAAGAAATAACAACGAGAACACCACTGCTCTCGGTTCGCTGCCGTATCCTTAAATGTCTCCAACCAACCGGTTGCAGTCTCTCGGATCCGAACATGAGAGATGCGAGACACCTACTCTACCTAATGGCTCTGTTCATTTTTTCATGCCTCGTCTCCACGTTATCTGTTGACCTCCACGTGGTTTCCTCCAGCCCGGAGTGGCTGCAGCGAAAAAAGTGCGGTGTGGTAGGCGACCGTTAGACATACACAAAACGTGATTCAACCAACAGAGCCTATTGAGCCGAATTCGATTAGCTAGTGATTTATCTCCAATAAACTCCCAGATTACTAACCCGTTTTCTGCATCCCATGCGGGCCAAGCTGTGTAAACACCGATAGTCGAAAACTTCCAGCTGATTCATATCTTCGATTCATAAATCCAAAGTCTCAACTATAAATCCAGATTGAACGAACGGTAGCACAACTGGTACAGCCTTCCAACTTCAGTGAAACGTCACGTTTACGCCACAAGTGTTTTAGTTCTATATACTCTGGTGGAGCCTTGGAAACGCGGGTGGTTATCTCTTTCGCTGCGCGGCCGTCATTGGTCACGCAACCACCTTAGTAGGAAAAGTAATACACCACAACTAATTCCTGGTCATCTTGTTTCAAAGCAGAGTAGGCCGCATAGAGTCTTGAAGCATGACTTAGCACTTTCAATGTGCAAAGCACATACCGAATGTGGCAACAGCATTGGGCGGTGTTTTTAAAGAAAAGTTAGAAGACGAAAAGCCAATATACCGAAATAAAACGGCGTTGGTGAACCACCGGCAGTTCATCTAGGGGAGTTGGCCAAACCAACCAAGGGGAGATGTACGAACCACACACATATACCTTACTGGTTACGGCAGTAACCACCGGTTCATTGTTACATCGAGGTATCCTGAGGGGCAGGCTTTGGTTGGCCGAAGGCTTCGGTTATGAATTTCTTAGGAAAATGGACTTGCTTAGACCTGGACCTGGCGGTATCGTGCCTTTTATATTCACGTTTCATCTGTTATATATATATATATATATATATATATATATTTCAGGAGAGTAATGGAGGCTTTGATTAAATTTCAAATGGGAATTCGTCGTCTGCATAGCAAATGAAACGTGAACTGTAACGCTAGGAAGCACTGGACAGCTGTTTCGACCTGGTTGGGTCTCATCAGCAGTGCGAATCCATCGAGCCGACAGAAGATCGAATCCGGGACTTCATGGGCAGAACGCAAGCGTGCTACCCACCGGGCAGCCGATCAGACTGTTTTTCATTTTCCATTTACACGATATAGCACAACTCATCTTCGCGAGCTTGTTGCAAGTCACAGACCCTGCTCATCTCGGTACTAGCCTCCAGGCTTATGACTTGATTGGAAATATTCACAACCTGAACTACTTATTTCATGCGAGTAATGGAGGATTTGGTTAAATATCAAATGGGAATTCGTCGTCTATATAGCCCATGAAGTCCCGGATTCGATCCGAGTTGGGTCGGTAGATTCGCACTGCTGATGAGACCCAGACAAGTCGAAACAGTTGTCCAGTGTTTCCTAGCGTTGCAGTTCACGCTTCATTTGGTATGCAGATGACGAATTCCCNTTGAAATATATACATATACATTTTGCCGGACACAACTGCTGCTGTTGAGCGATCTACTCAGTTCGCCATAGGTCATCACTCGACAAGAAATATGGGAGTACAGTGACCTCAGTAGGTCACCGTATTTCTGGGGCATACCCTTTTTATGGATTCACAGTCAACTTAATCGAAGGCTCCTTTCAGGTCAAGGAGCAATGCAATCGTCGGTCGACGGTGAGTGTGACGCGGCTCGAGGACCTGATGCCAAGAAAAAATTGGTCAACAAATCCATCGAAATCCGATTTCCTGTTTATGGATGTTGGTCTCCCTCAAAGGAGTCGGACGTGACACTATGATGGAGGCTGTGGTGACGATTGGGATCAAACAGAATTACTTGACCAGAAACGTACGGAATATGATGAACGATGCATAAAGACGTAGTAACTTTTTGTATTTTTCTAGTTAGGAAACGAGTTGGATAGATGACCGTGAGTGCAGAACAAAAAAAGCGATACTTCAGAAAAGTATACATTAAACAAACTACAAGTATATGATGCTGAGATTCAAAAAACAACGAAGGAACAATATTCAAAATTCATTGGATAAATTCACGGACAGTACAGACTTACCTGCATGAACTGAATCCTTCGGTTTGGACTCTTGGTCCGCACCTGCTTGTGATGCACGATCGGATAGCTGAAATGGATCAATGCAATTCGATTTTTGATTACTAATGGATCAAGCCTACAAGCACACAGTAATAATCAATGGTAAGATAGCTAGGTAGTTGGTTAGATAATAAAGTAGCCTAGGTCATTTAACTTCAAAAATCGACAGTATACTAGTCTATTCATGAAAACGAGATCTAGCTAACCGCTAATAAATTTCGGTACATTAGACTACCCACGGCCTCTGAAAGCCTCAGTTCGGTTCAGAGTTGGCGAATTGGTGACTGACTGTCTTCTTATCTATCACACTACGTCTCCAAGGGCCTCTGCGGTTTCCCATGAAAGCCAACATTCTGGGTAACCAACGGGTCGGTGAATTTAGGAGAGTTGAGAGAGCTGATTCCAGGCGTGTATATCACATCACATCATTCTGGTTTTGACAACCGTCACCGGGTTTATTGGACCTCAAAATACATTACATATCGGAGTACTTTTCTCACGTCCAAATGGTTATGTTTTTCATCCACCAAAGAGTGACTGGGAGTAACAATCGGTTACATTATGGTCATCGTATGTGGTGGTGGCGCAGTGGTTTAGTCGCTGTCACCGGCGTATTTTGGACCCTGTGGTCCGAGGTTCGAGTTCCATCATCCCCATCCAACACTGGTGGTAGACAGCTTTGCTGTCGCTGTCGCCTGACCCAGCGGGGCCCTATGTAGTTCATAAAAAGTCCCGGGGCTTAGGTTTCCGGTTACCACCGCTGAACAGCAGGTCTTCGTGAGATAAGGTCTGCTTCATCTGCTGCCCATCACACACCGGTGATAAATTAAAAAAATCGTGTACACAGTCGCTCTTTCTTTCTATTTCCGTGATTGATACGAAATGCAATCATACGGTTCTATGTACATTAACTGATCGTATATGCACCGACTCGACTTACTTGTGAACTGCCGGCAGCAGAACGCAAATGACCTAGGATCAGAGTAGGACCCAGTTCGATTAACTGAGGAGTTACACCGGAGGGCCAAGCAGATTCAAATGCCTTGAAAAAGTACAGCAATGCATCCAGTACGTAGGCCAAGTGTTTGTGCATTGGAGCACCAATGAAAGGGACACCATCACCGTGGTCCCCACTGGTAGCACGCATAAGTGAGAATACATAGGACAGAAATTCATGACGCTGACCAAGAACAGTAGACTGGACAGTTCTGTTTGCTTCTCCCTCTGGTCGATGATTCACAGCGGAAGATGAATGACTGCTGTTGGAGAAACGGCCAGTGGTGGTACGCGAAAATGATTGCCGATTTGATGAACTCTGTGATCAGGAAAAATATCATTAAAAAATATATATAATCAAACACAAGAATCAATGGGTGACATCACTCAAAGCAATCAAACAAACAGTATGATGAGCGCATCGTAGGCTTCAGTTTGTAATAACTATACATGAAAGATGGCGACAAATGATAAGATAGAAGATTGCATTTATATATATATATATATATACATATATATATATATATATATATATCAATAAACAATTAAATAACCTTCGTCCCGGTACCACCTTGTGAAATCATAACAACTGGTGCGGTCACCAGGATCAAGATGAATGTTCCAATAAGACGGTTCCTAGGTCGTGTCGCATCTAATAGCTGGTTCGTCAACATTTTTAAACCGCTAGACTACCACCGACTAGGTAATACGAAATGCACTGAACGAATATCCTGAAATACAGCTCAGTCCAGGTTTATGAATTAAACANAACAAAACCTTCAACCGACCCGCAAAAGCTGTGGTGGCTTTGTCAAAGTTATTAAAAAAGAGAGATAAGTTGTCGATAAATTGTCACATTAACGATAGTGCCACACGGCTCAGCGTGCCAATATAAATAGCATAACCGTTCAAATATCTTGACTGTGATCAAACCAGACGGTCCGGGCAACGATAAAGTCATACTACGGGTCGAGGGCGCGTGCGATCCTTCAGCGACTGAGATACTACGGAGCCGCGGTGAGGGTAACTGGCAAACCAAGATGAGAACTCTTCAAGCTGTCCTATTATCTGTTCTTGGATTTGGCTGTGGAAACCATCCACTAGGCTCTTGCGACAAGAGCCAGCCATTGGTGTCTGCGATAGTGGTAAGAACGAGTTTGTAATGAAGTGGTTGGAAGACTGCCAATATATAAAGGAACGGTCCTCTGCTCCGGTGGTTTGGTCGTGTTCTGACTATCGATGATCACCATTTCAAAGTTATGCCTCAAAAAACATCCAACTCCAAGTAGGCACTGAACTCGGGGTGGTTAACTTAGGACTTGGGTAAACTTATGGATGACGCAGATCCAAAGGGCCTTCAAAACATCTATGGCCTGCGGTAATGATAAAGAAATTACATCTCGATCTGCACTCTGTAGTAAAACTACAGGTACGGATAAGAGTGATCTGAGAAACCCAAGTAAAAAAGGAGCAATCGGAAGATTTAAAACTTGCAAATGCCAACAGGAATACCCAAATTTATGATGTGTATAATGTACTCAGCCAGCTGTCTAAAACAGGAAAATTTATTCACTGCATAATATTTCGACTCACCGTGGGGTTTGAATAATCCCGTCGAGCCGCTGAATTCATGCCGGGGCCAGCTGATGGGGCAAAGCACAAAAAAATTAGAAGTCACCTAAGACATTGAACAGGTTAGGCCAAAATATAGCTTAAAAGCCTGGTATGCGTTTAGGACACCAGGTACAACAAAATGAAAAAGCAGGTAAGTTTAGGAATAGATATATTAAGGGTTGAAGTTAACAAACAAATCTCTTGCAATCCGAGAGTATTGTCGTTGGGAGGCAGTAACGAACCTGTTGATTATTCAAGTCGTAGTACAGGCGCAACACAAAAGTGCTATTCGGTCAATCACACGGAGAATAATTAGACTGGTTCGGTTGTATGCACTATGGAAAGTAACCGATGATTTATGATTACACAAAGACCAATTTGTCTTAATTTGCTGTCAAAACTGCGTTATAATACCGGAATAAGTGATATCTTTTCTGCACTCCCGTATAACTATCAGCAGAAATAGACGGCTCTAATCAAAAGGATTCATCAGGGTTTCGATAAAAGATAAATTAGATCTTGAAAAAACCTCGGTGTATATGAATGTCCGTTCATCAAAGACTAGTGATTATGGGTTTAGAACAGGATAGATGAACAAACACCTTGGTGACGTCATTGCACAGAAACTGAAATGAGACTGTTTTTTTTTAATCACAACGATTGCTTACCATCTACTGTATGAGAACCGGAGTTTCCTCCCGGGTTCGATACTTGCTTTCCATGAAATTGTGTATTCCAAGCAGCCGAGTAACGCAACTGAGCTTCCAGATTGTCCAACGCATGTGCTAACCACTGCCAAATCGGGCATAGCACAGCACCAACCGCAGCGACTAACTCAGCCAATTCAGTGTGGGACGGTAATACGCCACGAGAACCTTGAGCTGCACGTTGGTTTGGAGTTAGTCGCGTTAAAACCGAAGACGAGGATGACGATCCAAAACTTAATGAATGAGTAGTCGAAGTTGGACCAGATTGATTAATGTGACCTCGCTGGTAGTCAGACAGCGACGGTCCAAAGCACCTTGAGTTTAACGTTGCGGAAGACGACGTGAGATTGGTGGAAGACATCGGAGAGGACAAAAGTAGTGTTAATGGGTGCATACTGGTGCCATTCGTGGATGATGTTGGTGGATTATTCGTACTCGTATTGCAACTGCCACCGCTACTGTATGGATGCATTTGGCGCTGTTGCTCATAAACCGAGGGTCCTGTGGTGAGAGTGGCGGGAACGGATGCGCAGCGACGCATGGTACTTGCATTGCCCACATCTTCATGCAGCTCAACAATTAGATCCGCAATTACTCGCATCAAACAACCAAAAGCACGACTGAGTTGCACTTGAGTGTGTATAACGCATCCATTCTGGAAGACATAAGACGGAAAGTAATTTGACCGAAAAATATTACGGTGACTGGAAACAGTGATTAAAGCCACTAGGAATTTCAGCTCAACCCTTTTCGGACAGCGAATAGTTTCTTTTTTTTCAAACCAACAAACTAACCAATTACGTTGAGAACCTGTGAACCCGGATATTTCTACATTGTGTAGCGCTTTGCAAATCAAGCTTGATAACAGTTTACAAGCATATATCCATCAATAAACAAAAAGAAAGCATGCGCATCACGTTTAAAAGAATGGATCAAATGTATATTTGCTGCGAGCTCGTCTGAAGCTATATTCAACTTAACTCAAACCATCTTCATCATTTTTAGACATTAAAGCTATCCGCTTCATGTAAGTCAGTCTGTTTTCTTGTAACCTCACCCCTTCCAATCGAAATATATTCCCACGTGCGACCGACGGTGGTTCTGTACGTTTGCATTTACAGAACACGAAGTCAACAGATGTGGTTTTAAGTTTTCAGCGGACTTTTTGGAAAAACGTTGGGTTTCGATCACTTAATCATATGAAAAGAACTCGCCTCAGACGTAGGTCCTGGAGTGAGTGTGGTTTCGGTGTTGGACAAAACATTGGCACCAGAGCTTCCGCTGGTAGACACTATCAATGTAGGCGTATTGCTGGAAGCGGAGGACGTGGGTAACAGACTGATTACTGATGGTACAGTACGCCGCCCAGAGTTCAAATTATTTCTTGATGGTTGTTGCGCTCCGCTACTGGTGGTGCTGGTGTTGATTGTATTGGTCAGAATGCCAGGAGTGCTCGTTGTTTCCGCACTCGTGATCCTTCGACTGGTTATGGATAAACCACCTGCTGATGAGGTGACTGGAGTGGCATTATCATCCAGACCGCCAGTCGGTTGTTGTGCACGAGAACTGAGCCTTGAAAACACGGAATTCCGGGGCCATGCACTCCAGTTAGGCGAAGTTGATCTGCTACCAGCATCTACGCTTGAAGTCTATAGATGTCGAGATATGGAAAATGAACAAATTTTATAACGTACCAACTATGAATGTGATGAAAAGGGTAGAGAAAACCTTCATATAGATATGGTCCACTGAACTATGGGTGCTCCCGTCATACGGTAACCCCTGAGAATCGTTTGATGGCGAGTGGCGATCGTTCAATAGCAGTGGTTGTGCTTAAGCACCCACTGTTCAAAGGAGAATATACACACCTTTCAGGCACACCCATACCATATAAGGTCACACCACGGTTGGATTTTCCATCTAATTACGTGACTTGACAGTCCAGCTTGAGTCAAATGAACAGCCTTGTTTTCAAAATTGAATCATTTTCCCCATTCATGTTCGAACAGTAGCATCAACCTCCGCGAGTTGAAGTAGGGAAGACAGAGATAAACAACTAAGGTGAATGAATGAATGAACATTAATTCGCCACAACAGCCCAGAAACATCACGGGAGAGTCCTGTAAAACTGCTCATTGGACTGACGAGGAATTAATTTAAACTGATTTCCCCCATCTTGGAAACCATATCCAAGACCAGTGAGCAGTCGTAAAATGAGAGTTTCAACGAGAACCGAGCTTAATGCACGATGCGACTGCATGAGCACAATAATTCCCCTGTACGATTTAATGTTGATGGCATCAATCACAACGTATGGTGCTCGAGGATAAAACGGCAATCAAAAAACAGCAAGTTGTGATTCAGGAATTCGCTACCAAAGTTGCAAACCTAATCGTGAGGACAAAAAGAGCACCCACTTACATCACTATGATGTGAGGAATCATCATCGTTTTCGTCATCGTCATCTTCGTCATCCTCACCATCGATGAGCTCATCCGCGTCATCATCATTGTAACCGTCTTCATCTGCGTCTTCGTCCTCAGTTTCATCGTCATCGTCTTCCTCATCCCCATTAGCTTCACCATCATCCTCTTCCCCATCGTCCTGATCTTCATCTTCGTCAAAATCGGACACCTGACCATCGGATGCGTCATCGACGTTTGAGTAATCCATACGCAAAGGACGAGCACCGTTGTCCAGACAATCTTCTGTTTGTCGGTCATTTGTACTTCCAGATGGATTTTCAGCCAGTGTTGATTGATACACATTCACCACGGAGTTTAATAACTCACCGTAGCTGAACTCATCTGAGCGTCCGGCACCGACTAACTCCACCGGAGTTGGAAGATCTGGTACAGCCTCAACCTGTTCCGGCTAATAATGAAAATAAATATACATGTGAACGTTTTGGTGCTCCGCTTGAGACAACAAATATACTGAAATCTGATGAGAGGGTTTGTGGAGATTACGAAATAAATGTCATTGAAAATACTCACACGAAGGGACAGTGAATTGGCAATAAACTCTGATCCGGCCGTGCGCTCGGTTCTGTTGTTGAACACAGTCTCCACTGAGCCGTTTGTGATGTCCGAACCCTGATCAAAGTCCACAGTACTTCCACCAATAGTGGCCACAGTTGCACCAGTACTACTGGCTTGACTAGCCGGATCATCGGTATCCAACAACGTATAGGTGACTTTGGTCTCTTCGTCATCCGGAGCTGTGATATTTCCCTCCTGTGACGCCGAGAAGGCCGAAATTTCATCAGTTGTACGACTGGGTGAACCAGAGGCTGGTGTCATTGTTCGGCGACGTTTGGGATAGCCATCGGAAGTTGAGTAAACCTCCGTTATTTGCGGTCGTCGATCACGGCTGTTTCCAGTCGATGTATCTCCTTGTTCACACACATCCGAAGTGGGTTCAATCGATGGGCCAGAAACCCCATCATCCATCGCTTCCGTGGAGTCAGATATGACGTCATAAGGGCGGCGTAGTGATCGACGGAAGGATTGTGTGTGCGACTGCGGTTCTTCATTATCCAAATCCCTGTGATGGAACTCTGATATCCCGAAGGTTTGTTCATTATCTGCCAGCGTTCCGTCAGAAGACGGAGCAGAGGACCTCTGGCATAAGAGAAGATGCATACACGAGTTGGAGCTTAAGTACGATTGGATGAGTGCGTGAAGCCACTAGTATTGAAATTAGCAGAAATGAGAAACTGAATCGTGCCATCGGTCCATACTATCCATGATTGGAACAGCCCCGCAAAAGTTGCACAAACTCATTCAACCAATTAAGCAAATTTTTCTAATTATACTTCGAAAGACTCCATTGATTTTATTAGAAAAATCTATGATCTTAATGTTTCTCATGAACACATGGTCTCGTATGATATTGGTTCCTTAATACTAATGTTCCTCTTTTTGAAACTGCGAACATTGTCAGTCCACTCCGAAATTTATTGCTTCTACTAGATATGTACAGTTGTTTTAACGGAGATTATTATCGTCAAGTTGAAGGAGTTGCAATTCCTAGTGTACTAGGGCTGATCCTGGCTAGTATCTTCATGGTAAACTGCGACACTGTGTATAAAATACACACCCGGTTTTTTCGTTGTTATGGGTAGGCATCTAGTCGAGAGATAACAATAGTTTTGCACTTACTATTCCATCATGTGTCTCGGAAGATGCATGATCACGATCGATATCCCCAATCGTCGATTGCATCTGCAAGGTCAAAACCGACGGGTCGTTCAATGAGGCGGACACAAATGTGTTAGGATTGTAAGTGGTCACAATCTCTGTAGCAGAGTTCGAGGTGTGCGATGTGGGTTGATTCGGAATGGATAGATTGACGTGCAACGAAGAGACCACGGTGTTTCGATTTGGGTGCGTCCCGAGTGATTCTGATGTCGCTGGACGAAAAGTGACGCGAGAGGATTCTTGAGCTTCATTACGGTTAGCCTGATGAAATGCGAAAGATAAAGAGTAAAAATACGACGCTCAATATTACCGTTATTAGCAAGACGAAAATCGACCTTGATATTCGGGTAGCAACAAGCTGAAAAACTAAAGATGGATGCGGATAAAAGGTTGTTACGATGATAGAGATGAGATTTGATGTGAACATTAAAAACGGATACGAGCTGATCGACAATTGTATCTCCTATGAAATTTAATGTGGGGGTATACCGAGAACCAAGGTGGAATTGAAATTGATTCACCGACACTACTCACACATCCGCACAGTGTGGGTTACATCACCGAGGACGTGAGCCAGTTGAACTATCTATTTACTGGATGGAATCAAACCTGTTGCAAGATCCATCAACGCGGCAACTCCTCCACATAGGCTCAGTTTCCATGGACAAAGCCCAGGAGCACAAAATAGATGTGGTACCATGCGAGGGTTATAATTTCAACTTTCTGTATTACAGGCCTTATCGTCCGAAACATTTAATGGAGTAAACCCCACTACCAAGGCAGCCTACTACCTCCATTACCACCTGTCGTGCTGATGTCAATTTGGGCTTTCAACGCACACTTATTGGCCCGTTACCTGATAGCATATAAATGGGGGCTTTATGTAAAACCGGGAAAACTAGAAACTGAAATGTTGCCAGTCCTAGAAAAAAAGTGAGATACGGGATAGATTAACTACCTGGTTTTCTTCTGAGACCCGGAAGAATGTACCATGCAACTCAGCAGTACTGCTTGCGGTCTCTGCGCCCTTATTTTGTTCGGTCAATTGCAGGAGCCGATGTCGAGAATGACTGCTGCGTTCGAGAGCAAAAAACTGTTCCAAACCCTGTAAAAATCCAAAAACAGATTACTTTAGGAGTTGTATAAAGCCCAACAGCAAGAGTTGCTTTCGATGCAAAAACCGTTTCATTGTTTATGGTGCTGCGATAACGAATTCGGAATGCCTATACGGGCAACATTAGAAATAAGTAGAAGGATTTTGAAATTACCAGTTGCTTACAGAACTACAGTACCACTAAGCTGCTATGTGTTGGATGCGTAAAAGGAAGCGTGCTAGCGTTCCTCAGTGTTGCTGACAAAGCTAAAGACCGATGCAGCAAGAGCATTGAAATACACTAACAGTAAATAAATTAGGCAAAGGCGTAGAAGCTCACCTGAACAGCATCAGCCGACTGCGTTAACAAAGAAAAAGGAATGCTCGGGCGTAGAGTTCCAGTACGAATGGGAGTAAGCAGACCAGCGGCTAACTGCGGCAACTCTGCAAGAGCCACTGGTGCAAGCCGACTGAATATGTGACGGCATACATCCAGTGGAGCCAACTGAGCAAGTAAAAGACGACTGAAAAGTAGAGAAACCACATATGGGTTTGCAAATATATATATATCTATAACCCATCAGATAAGAGCAGGAGGACACAGCAAAAACATCCGCATTTTCTAGGTAGAATGGTACGACAGGAGCGCCAGATTATGTTAAAAGCACGGCAAGTAGGTAAAAAAATAAGTAGTCCTTTTTTACGGATCATCTATGAATTGTCCCCAATAAGTCACCTGCAATAAGCGTAAACAGGAAGGTATAATAAAAACCCATTCGATCAGAAATTTATCCACAATTTTCCAAATGACAACCTTACTTTTTTTTCTTTTTATGATCCGCAGCTAACTCCAGTGTCATTGTGGTGTATATCCGCGCCACCGAATGGATAAACCGGCCGGCAACTATACGCATTTCTTGAGCAGTCGGGATCTTAGGTCGATGTAAGAAGGTCTTTGGAGTGGTAGGTAAGAGACGCTCCTGTTTATCGCGAGTGGAAGACTCCGAGACAATATTTTGCAGGTCCACAGACAAATGACGATTAATTGTTGAAACCAGTGTATCGACCATCTCCGTTGGACATTTGCAGACAAGAGTGAAGACGAAATCATCCAGTTGGGTTGCCCCAGCCTGAGCAAACAGGAGCTGCATGATAAACGATAAAGAACATTAGATCATTAAATTTCAGTTCTCCAACTAGGATGAAACATACAAACCACAAGATGTACAACGCGTTCAATGCCCCTCAATCTGCATTGACGAGACGTCTATGATGAACAGAATTCTGGCAACGGCTTGAAAACATCTTACAAGCACGCACTGCAAAACGATGATTTTGAACGAGATGAGCTATTAGTAAGAAAGTAGCACAGGGACCATAAGGAGGGGCACCCACTACGGTCACGGAGCCGAAGACCGAGATTACTTTCTGACGTGAGTGTTTCACTGCCGAACATAGAGTTTATCAAGACACGTACTGGTTATGACTATGGGCCTTCAAGGCATGTAGTCATCGCCGAGGTTAACACTGAGTTAGCAGTTGAAATGGTTGATCCCTAAACTGTTGGAAAGGCACGAAAACCTTTAATTAACCAGCCAAGTAAGTCGAAATTATTATCAGGATACACTGAAGTGCACACAGAAGCCTGAAGAAGCACCCTAGTTCTATCAGTTAAGTTGACTTTTCTATCAGTTCAATAAATACCACCTTAATGATCAATCAAGAAAATTGACCTGTCCTCAGATATTAGTCAAGGGCAGCAACAAATAGGTTACGTGTTGCCTTTTGCGTCTGAAACAGATATCAATGTATTATTGATACTCTGGAAACAAGCTCAAAAAACATCAAATCGAACCCACTTTTTCCTCGTCAATACAAGCAGCACTTTTGAATACGCCTGGAATTCGAGAAGGACATGGGTTTGAGTCCAGGCTTAAGATGCTGTGGACTGCAACGGGACAATCTAATGCCAATTCAAGTGCGTTCCGAGCAAATCGAGGTGGGTCCAAGTCATGATCAGGTTCCTCGGTTCCGCCACTGGCATTTGTTTGATTCCCTTCACGCTGACAATCCCAACTGGCCCCCTGGCCTGGCAGGACCGTATTGGTGCCAGTTCCAGAAGCAGAAACGGACACGCCAGTTGATCTACTCGAAACCGCACCGATACGGCGTCTGGATGGGCGATATTGTTTTTGTTCACGTAACTGACGTTCCACACATTTAACCAAGAACAACAGTAAATGCTCGTTTCGCGAATTGACCAACCGGATCAGATCCGTATCTCGTAGCAATTGATAGAATAATTCGTGTCTGGGAGCCTGAGCTCCAGCAATCAGACTCTGGCATCGACATTTTTCCCAACAATCGCAGTAAGCGGTTGGAGAAGTGCGTTTCAGACGGCAGTCATGACCTCGATGACAGACTCGTGCACATTCAGTACAGCAGCACAACGAATCCATAAGTCCACAGGTACGACACTCAAAGATGTCCTATGAAATTTAAAAAAAAACATTTATTGAGGTAGGATGAGTCAAAATGCACACCTCCAACTGAACTGCGAACAATTTGTTGAGTTAGTGTTATCATCGTCATCATTGTACAGCGTAATCCAGTGAAGCGAACTTCACCGATCGCTGTCAAACTCGTAATGCATACAAGGTAAGTGAGACGTGTAAGGAGGATAGGAATCGAAGACACAAATATGTCAATGTTCATTGACGAAACTGAAATGAAGATAACTGAATGTGTTTTGGATTGGGATGAACGATAAACAAAAAGTGTTTCGAAGAAGGAATTGAGTACATAACCGTCATATATATTATATACATTATATTTCACACTTGTCCAAAGACAGACTGTACCAAACAAATCATGGTACAATAATCTTTTTAAAAGAAAATGTTCCATGATTGTCTTGTGGGCTGAGTATTGTCAAGTTGCCCAGGCCAAGGCAGGTGAATTTTCTTGAGGAATCCACAACCGGAGCCTTTGGCTAGCCAAAGCATGGACCGCAAGGCAGCGGGGCGATGTGTGAAATCCGTCACATAAACAGATGATGATTTAGTAACCCAGTAAAACTATTCTTTGTCTTGTTAAACAGTAGTTCGAAATCTATTTGTTTGGATCGTCAGAAGAGAGATATTGGAACAGATACCAAAGTGGAAGGGGTTTTGTGACACCCAGAATATATATTTGAGGATCATCAATGGTTCCTGCTCCACTAATCGGATTATTTCTCATATGTTATAAGCAGCTTTTTTTTATTTGAATAGGGTCGAGTGATTTTAACATCTAATTAGATCACCCGTTAAACAGATGTTCTGCGTTTGCCTATGTCACATGACAACACACCAAAGTTGGTATCATATGAAAGAGAAGGGGCCAATGACATTAGAAATCAATGACTACATAATTGATATAAACAGTGTGATGAGATGAAACCAGCAGTAAACTTTCATGAACACTGAAAAGGGAAAATTGA